GTGAGGCTACTCTCTTGGATTCTCAAATCACAAACACCTCTCTAGGACCTTGCTCTTCTTGGCACTCACAAACGTGTTTCTCAAATTGTTGGAATGAGCAAAAGTTCCTCCACTCACGAGTGGAGCTTCTATTTATAAGGCGCACTGAAAAACTAACTGTTATGAGCTTCATGGACGACGACCGGACGCCTCCGATCGTGATGACCGGACGCCCGGCCAGTTCAACCCGCGAACCAAAGATTCAAGTGATGACCGGACGACGACAGGTCCGGTCGGTGACTGGACGGACGCGTCCGGTCGCTTCTTGATGCTTATCAGAACGACCGGACGCCGGATACTCGTGGTCCGGTCATATTGACTTGGACGCTGTCCGGCCACTCTTTTTCAAGTCTGGACCCTTATCGAGTCGACCGGACGCTAGCCCTCGTCGTCCGGTCACACGACCTTCCAGTCGGTCTGTGAAGACTTAACCACCTCGGTCAAACGAATCGACGGACCATGCGGCCATTGTTCTTCGCCGAAGACCGAAGCCGTCCCTGGCCAATGTTTGACCCTCCATTCACTTCTAACTTTCGAACATATGTGAATGAAGTTTGCTCCAAAGGATCTTAGGCATTCATAGGAGCTACCTAGAGCTAGTTTTAACAAGTGTGCACCACACCTAACTCACTAGACTCAACTAGGTCAAGCTACCCGTTCATACCCCCCTTTATAGTACGGCCAAAGGAAAAAACAAAGTCCTAAACTACTCTAAATGTCTCTCCAACTCCAATCGACACTTAGAACTAGTTATCCTTAACCTTGTCGTCCATCCTTTGAAAACCGAAACGATTTCCATCGTAGGGGCATGACAACCTCGATTGCCCAATCGATCTCCATTACCATGACCTAACTTAGTTGCCTCTGCAAAACACACGTTAGTCATAGTAATCTTGTATTGACATTAATCACCGAAATCCAACTAGGGGCCTAGATGCTTTCAATGACCATAAACGGTTCATAAAACATAACATAATAGGTCCATCAAACACGGCATAAATGATCCATCAACACATAATATGAGGCTAGTCTCTATCTCTATGGGGTTTTCCATGTGTTAGAGACGGTGTAGACTATTTTTTATCTCTATAAAACTTGTTTTATTCCGATGAAACTTTGATCATCTCTCTTATATCAGCATATCTATCTTACTAATCTACTCTACTAATTCACCAATATTTTCTTTTCTAGATCCACATCCACACCAAAAATCATCCCCCGCTGAAAAGTCCCTCCTCTATTCACCCATAAAAAAGGTACCCGGAAAAACGACACCTTTAAAATGGACTATCAAATTGCTTGTAATCTCTTCTCTCTCCTTGCTCACTCGAATCCAAGGGTCAAGACTGTGTGTCAACCTCCTCAGCCCCGCCCACCTCCCTCGCCGGCGCTCAGCACTCCACGCCCCATTCGGCAGCCATGGTTCGATCCCTGCTTCTCTCTCTCTCTCTTTTTCCGGAAAAAAGCACGACTCCAATGACCGTGGAACGGCGCCGCGACGGCGCGGGGCGGTTGCGCATCAGTGCCGGTGCTCCGTCCCCGTCGCGCTCATGAGGGCGGGCGAGCGGCGACGCGAAGACGACGTCGAGGGCGCGCAGCGCGGCCCCCACAAGCGGGCTCGAAATCCTAGCTCTGGTCGCCGGCGGCAATGGCTGCTGTTGCGGCACTCCCGCCGAGGACGAGGCGGGGCAACGCCTTCACGCCCGTGGAGGACGCGGAATCCGCCGCCAAGGCGTTCCACGCCAGCATCGACGCGGTGCGCTCCCGGGCTTCGAGCTCTACGGAGACGCCGTCCTCCGTTTCTTGAGCTACCCAGACGACACGGATGTTGCCTTCTTGCCCGGGTTCGAAAACGTCGCCAACTCAGCAGAGATCCGCGCAGAGATGATCGTCGTTCGGTTCCTCCCATGGGCTGTCCATCCTCTCCTCCTTGCCTTCATCGCAGAAGCAGGCGTCACCGGCACCGGTGGCGTAGTCGCTGAGTGCGTGCGATCACCCGCCGTTGAGGCCATGCAGGACGAAGCGCTCGTGCAATCCCGTGCCTACCATCCCACGTCCATGCAGATGGTACTTTGCTATTTCCCTCTGCGGGAGTGTTCAGCTGCTATTATAAGCTAAGCCGGCTTATAAGCCACGGTACAATATTTTTCTCTTAATAAATTAGATATACAAATTAGCACAAGCAGCTTTACGAGCAGCCGAACAGAGCCTACAATTTAGCTGCAATAGTCTATTACTGATTCAAACAAATGTGCAATAGTCTAGACTTCTGATTATGTTTGGTCTGAATTCAAAATGGTTCCTGATTAATTAGGCCAGTTTAATTATTAACCGAAACTCGTATCTGAATTGTGTCAGTGCAATGCCGATCTTATGATTATTCATTGGATTCAGTTTGAGTTGGTGGCCTACAAAAGCATCTGGATTATCAGATATATACGCACTTGAAAATGCCATGAGCAGGCAGGCATCGACATGTACAGGCCAATGCATTGATTTCTTTTCCAGAAGAATCAAACTTGTAGAATTTAACAATTATTCAGTCTGTTCGTTTGGTTGTGGCTTATCGTAAACGATAGTAAATTTCTAGCCGGAACAGTATTTTTCTCTCACACAAACCAGCCAGCAGTATTTTTTTATCAATCACCAATGAAACAAACCAGCCAACCGAAAATGCTGATTAGTTGTGTGTAATTACGGACTGTGGCCGTGCTATGAAAAAGTAATGCGCTGCTTCCGCTGAGGCCTTGTTTAGATTGTAAATTTTTGTAACCTGGACACCGTAGCACGTTTCGTTTGTATTTGACAAACTTTGTCCGATCATAGACTAACTAGGCTCAAAAGATCCATCTCGTGATTTACAATCAAACTATGTAATTAGTTATTTTTTTTACCTATATTTAATGCTTCATGCATGTGTTCAAAAATTGATGTGATGAAAAGAAAGTGAAAAAACTTGAAATTTGGAGGATCTAAACACGGCCTGAAATGGAATTTGGCAACTGACGATGCATGGTCGGAGACTTTGTACTGTAGGTGACAAGAATCTGCGAGCTTTGAATGCATCATTGCGCGCCTTCTGCTGGTGGACTTCAATTCCTTAATTCTGTTACTACACATACAGTTGCGAAGAACTTCTATTGCTAGCAGTTTCTGACAGTAAGGCCCCGTTTAGATCCAAAAAAATTTGGATTTTGGTTCACTGTAGTATTTTGTTTGTATTTGGTAATTAGTGTCTAATTATGGACTAATTAGGTTCAAAAGTTTCGTCTCGCGATTTCTCACCCAACTGTGCAATTAGTTTTTTTTCGTCTACATTTAGTACTCCATGCATGTGCCGAAAGATTCAATGTGACAGGTACTGCGTAAATTTTTTTGGAATCTAAATAGGCCGTAATTCCAAGTCCCATTATCTCCCATGCTTGATTCAAATATTTGGCATAGCAGAGAAAGGGTACAACCTGAATATTTGCCTTACTATTAAACTGAATATTTGGATACCTGTAGATGCATATATGAACTTCTGAATACTAGGATCACAAGCTTGTTGAGAAGTAGACACATATGAACCACATGATCAGATAGGGATTACTCATGTTCTGACTTATTCATTGAATCCATGATCTTGCCAGCAAAAAATTCTGGTTACTACTAACTGTTTGCTAATTGTTTTAGACTCAGGTGTTAATACCGAGCTGAGTTGGCGTTTAATTTTAAGTGGATTTCAGATTTTGGAACGGTTTGTAAATGGATTTAAAAGGTATAAGTGATCTTTTTAGTGATTTTTTGTATGTACCATGCAATTATTTTAATTACTTAATTAAATAAATGATTCTGATTTTAGGTGGTCAGTCCGAAGCAAATTTATGTGGTGTAGATGAGGCTCTGCCAAGTATTATGGTGATCCTTTCATCACTAAGTTATTTTTTCTTATTATTAAATCTTCGTCAATTGTAGTTTCAGGTTTCTTTTTTTTTCCTTAAGTAGTCCTGATCTAAAGCAGTGATTAAAAAACACATATAAAATATTGATAGCTAGAACACCAATGCCATTTTTTTCTAGATGCCACCGTAGCGTTAGCACGGGCAATATACTAGTTTACTGAGTTGGTAGGTTACTTACTGTACATAAAATTCTCACGAAACCTCAAGTTCACTAATACGACATAAATGATTCATCAAAGATCAAACATAACAAAATAGGTTCATCTAACACGACATAAATAGTTCATCAAACGTAACATAAATGATTCATCTAGCATGACATAAATGGTTCATCTAATTATTCTTCCGTTCGTCACACCACCTCTTCAACCAAGCAAGCCTTATGTTCTAAGGCCATGTTTGTCTCCGCCAGATCTTATGGAAATTGTAATTATATATTTTTCTCGTTCTAAATTATAAGTCACTTGAACTTTTTCTGTATATCTATTTTGTTATGCATAGATATAATAATATATCTAGATATATAGCAAAATTGATGGACTAAAAAATCAAAGCGACTTATAATTTGAAACGAAAAGAACATATAATATAATTACAAGTACAAAATTATACAAGTATAAACAAACAGATAGATCGTGCAACGAAGGAAGCTTTTTGTAGCATATAAACTGACGAACGTGTATCCCAAGTCCTGAATGGCCGGCTCTAAACCGAAGGAGCATACCGTATACGCTGCCACAGGCCATTGCCCATCCGCACTTCCGCAGACCGCACCTGTCGCCTCCGCCCCACCGGGTCTCCTTCCGCAGCACACTTCCCCGCTGACCCGGCCGACAACAAATGAAAGCGGGCTCCTTCCCCAGCAAGTTCCCGCCACGGCCGAAAGCCCGAAACCTCCTAACTACTCTAGCAAATCCCCACCCCAAATCCCCCAAATCACCCTTCCATTCAGTCGCTAACCACTCCCCACACCAGGCCACCCCTCCTTTCCTCACGGGCCGCCGCCTTCGCGCCGCCATGCCGCGCCGAGGTAGGAGTAGGAACCCCTCCTCCGGTGAATCGCCGCCTAACCTGAAATCCCCGTCGCTAACCTAACCTCATCCGCCGGAACCCTAACCCTCGTCTCTCATCCTTTGCAGGATCCAGCAGCGGCCGCCGGCGCCGCCGCAACGAGGAGGACGAGGATCTCCCCTCTGACGACACCTCCGACGCCGACTTCGTCGCCGACTCTGGGGACGAGGCGGAGGACGACGACGACGACAGCGACGACGAGGGGTTCGCGCCCGATGAGGACGCCCCGCCTGCGCCCGCGGTGCCCGAGACGGCCCTGCCGCCGCCGGTGCCCGCGATGGTGCCGCCGGTGCCGATCCGGATTAAGAATCAGGCGCCGAAAAGGAGGCGGGGCAAGAAGGCGAGGGACGACGCGCCGCCCCTGCCGTGGGAAGAGTGGGAAGTGGCCAACGACAGTTGGCTCGACGAGCTTGAAGCGGCCGATGGCGACGGGGACGGCGAGGCCACGGAAGCCGCACCGGCGGCCGTGCCGACCGCGGACCCGGCCCCGGAGGTGGTGCTCTCGCTGCTGCGCTTCCAGAAGGAGTGGCTCGCGTGGGCGCTCGCGCAGGAGGCATCCGTCTCGCGGGGCGGCATCCTCGCCGACGAGATGGGGATGGGGAAGACCATCCAGGCTATCTCGCTCGTCCTGACTGCGCGCCGTCTCCGCCCCCCGGACCACCACTCCGCGGCCTCCTCGTCCAACTCCTCGGTGGGCCGCCCGAAGGTCGGGTGCACGCTGGTTGTCTGCCCGGTGGTGGCCGTCATCCAGTGGACTGAGGAGATCGAGCGCCACACTGAAAGTGGCAGCGTGCGTGTGCTCATCTACCACGGTGCCAAGCGTGGTACTCAGAAGTTCGATTTCAACAGCTATGACTTTGTTATCACCACCTACTCCACCATCGAGGTGGACTACCGGAAGCACATCATGCCACCCAAGATTCGGTGCCAATACTGCAGTAGATTGTTTTACCCCAACAAGATGAAGGTGCACTTGAAGTATCACTGTGGGCCTAATGCTATACGCACGGAAGCTCAGGCTAAGCAGCAGAGCAAGAAGTGGGACAGCAGCAAGGGAAAGTTGAGGGGGAAGAGAAGGGTTCATAAGAAGGGTGATGAGGCGAATATGGATTTTCAAGAATTGGCTGATGAATCGGGCAGCCAGTCGAGGGGCCAATCTCCCCTGCATTCTGTGCAGTGGGAGCGTATTATCCTGGATGAGGTGATTTATGTGCCTTTCATGCTGCATTTTGATGTTTCTAAGTCTAAGTGATAAAAAATTGTCATTGCAATTAGAAAACTACTCATGAAAGGAATAAAGAAACAGAATTCTGGAACAATTGTTTTCAACTGTTTCTTTGATTTATTCACTGCAATAAGGGTTGCTGATTAGTTGATTTAATTACCAGTTATCCATCCAGCTGTAGAATTTTAAGCTGGTTTTATACTTCTAAGGAAAACACAATGGTAATAAAAAGGGCGTACCTAGTGCAGAGAGCTCCCGCTCTGTGCGGGGTCTGGGGAAGGGTATTAGTGGCAAGCCTTACCCTCGCCTGTGCAATGCGAGGAGACCGCGACTCGAAACCGGGACCTTCCGGTCACAGGCGGTAAGACTCTACCGCTTGCACCAGGCCCAATGGTAATCTCCATGAAAATTTGATATCATAGATCAGGTCAGAAAATGCCATCTCCACTGTATTCACAAGCTATCTTCAACTTATCATTTGTATTATTATTAGGGGTTTCTGCTGCATAGGCAATACACTAAGGAGTTATTATTCAACTGCAATCGTTGCAAGCATATTGTAGGGCGTGCTTGGATCCCTTTCTAGCATCTTGCCTAGCCTCGCCGGCAAGTTGGAGAAGTAGGCATGTTTTAGATTTTATTTGCTTGGGCGAGCCAATCTGGCACTCCTGCGCTGTCCTTGCCAGCCCTGGCCATGTTCAGCATTTGCATACGAATGGTTGCTGCACCATGTGGATAGTGCAGATGAAGAAAATTTAGCAGACAGTTATGCAACTGCATGTTGTGTAGTACATCTAGTGTTATTGAATATCCTTGTTATGCCAACATCTGTCCATACTGAGATGTAGACCAGTAGTCTTGTGTCATACGTAGCCATGCAAGGGATGTTATCCATAGACTGGTGTCAGGTCTAACCTGTTAGTCGCTGAATTCTCACTCTTGGTAGTAGGAGAATTCTTACTCTCATCGAGAGAGGATGACACTAGGAGTTGGGGCAATTTTCTTGTATATTTCTCACACAAGCTCACACAAATGCCATGCCAACCTGAGGGGTTGGGGTTACATATTTATAGGCTGCTAGCCAGCCAAGCATATGCCAAGATGCTAGTCTAAGATGCTAGTCTAAGATGCTAATATGCTGTCCTAGCTAAGATGCTGTCCTCTAAGATGTTGTCCTGCTGTCCTCTAGTCTAAGATGCTGTCCTAAAAGCAGAAAAACAGCCACAAGGACCATGTGAGCAGTACAGCCCCACAAAGACCACACATGAGACTTATCCATCATAACCATTCATATTATGTTTTCCCTTGGTATGGTTTAGTAGTTTATGGAGATAATTGGTTAATTCTAGTGGAAGTGAATATTTAGAAGCGTAAGGCCATGTACTCAATTAACACAAGTAGTTAGGTGTGGGAAACATACTGTGGTAACTCCAGCAACGCGTAATATTTTGATGTTTTTGGATGTGTGCATCGATATTCTGGACTTAACAATTGGACATCTCAAGATCCTAATGCTTAATGAATTACTCTTTCTTTTTTGTGCAGGCTCACTTCATAAAAGATAGACGATGTAATACTGCACGGGCTGTTTTTGAATTGGAGTCAGAATACAAGTGGGCTCTGAGTGGGACACCTTTGCAGAACCGTGTTGGAGAACTTTACTCGCTTGTCTGTAACTGATACCTGAATAAACAAATATAATACCTTCTAGATTATGAATTCTTACATGCTGTTTTCTCAGATTCGGTTCTTGCAAATCTTCCCCTACTCAAACTATTTCTGCAAGGACTGTAGCTGTGAGATACTAGATACCAGGTAGGTGTGCAGTGCCTTACTGAAGTTCTTTCTGGTGAAGCTAACACCCATTCAATTATTTACCTTTGAAAAAGACAAATATAGTTTTCAGCTTAAGTAAACATGATTTGGCAGTAATATACAAGTTACAATAATCAAATAGTTTAGGAAGAAAGCACAAAACAAATGTTATTCCCTTGCAGTTATATCACATAGGCTATGAGCTCGCACCGTTCCATCATATCTTTATTTGTTCCTTTAGATTGAGGACCTGACCAGTGTACCTCCATTCTCCTGCAGTATGAAGAAACAATGCGACTGTGGTCACTCATCTGTTAGGCACTTTTGCTGGTGGAATAAGGTGGGGTACAGGGTCTGGTTTTGTCACTACAGTTTTGCACGTTTTTTATTTGTCGTGACAGAATGCTGACAGAAAGCCATTATTTGATAGTACATATCAACACCAATACAGTACGGGTCAACAACTTTTCAAGGCAAAAGAGCCATGACTCTTCTGAAGGAAAAAGTTCTGAAAGGCATAGTGTTAAGGCGCACAAAAAAAGGCCGAGCGGCAGATCTTGCTCTTCCACCAAAGATTGTGAGTGTGCAATCACTCACTTCTTCATGTGTGTAACATGAAGGGTGCAAACACAATATTGCAATACCTTTTTTTCCCCTCATTTGCATACATTTTCAAGCAGTTAATTTTTACATGATAGGTGACATTGAGGCGGGACTCTTTTGATAAAAATGAAATGGAATTCTATGAAGCTTTGTATACTCAAAGTGTCACACAATTTGATGCGTAAGTTCTCTTTTCCTACTTTTGCATATGGAATTACAGACTGGTCAGCAGATTTCTGTGGTGTAGTGACGATGCTCCTCCAAAAGTTAGATATTCAATTTGATCTGAGCAATGAACCCACTTTTCTAGCTACTATGTTCCGGCAGTTGGTATCAGTGTTCCATCGTTGCAAACAACTAATGTGATAATGTCCCAGTGCCTCTTCCCACTTTTTCATAACCCATGGCAACATCACCATTCACCAAGATTATGTTTATGTCCTAGCAGAAGCAAGTATTATAGAAAATTCTTGTTAATTACTGTTTTTTTCCATTTGAAGTGGAGCATGATTTTTTTTTCTTCAGCAGATGGCATTTGTTAAGCTGTTCTTTTCCTCCACTTGCTTTTCCGTGCAATAAAAAAAGGGTGTACCCAGTGTAGAGAGCTCCTGCTCTGTGCGGGGTCTGGGGAAGGGCGGGCTTGGTGCAAGCGGTAGAGTCTTTTCCGTGCAATACTCAGAGATTTTTACCTTTGCGCCTTTTTATCTTCAGATATGTAGATGCTGGAACACTGATGAATAACTATGCTCATATCTTTGATCTTCTCACAAGGTTGAGACAGGTGAGCTATATAACATCTTTTTATGGATGCAGAAATATCCGTAGGCTCAGAATGCCCTATGTCCATCCGCCATATTAATGTAGATGGGGGGGAAACAGGGGCATCCATTTGTTCATACTCATATAGAATACACCTGCAACTAATTTTCTTTGGGAATGTAACAGTTTGCTTGTCCTGACAAAACTGTAGGCTGTTGATCATCCTTATCTTGTAGCATATTCTAAGACAGCAGAACATCCTGAAGGAATGAAGAATGAAGGAAATGACACCATGGAAAGCCAATGTGGTATATGTCATAATTTGACTGAAGATGTTGTGGTTAGTAATTTGCGCCTCCAAAATAATTGAGAATAATTAGTAAAGCCTTCATGATGCTTATTCTTGTTTTCCATGGCACAAGGTGGCTTAATCTTTCGCTGATTGATTTTATTTTATTTTATTTTTGGCCAAGGTTACCTCTTGTGATCATGCATTCTGCAAGACTTGTTTGATAGACTACTCTGCAGCTTTGGGGAATGTTTCATGTCCGTCCTGTTCAATACCTCTCACCGTGGACTTAACAGCACAAAATTCAGCTGGAAAGGTAACTCGAAGTGTCAAGGGTCGCAAATGCTCAGGAATATTGAGCAGACTACCGAGCCTTGTGGATTTTAAGACTAGTACAAAAATTGATGCCTTGGTAAGCCAGACTGTTGCTATAGTATCTTATTGTACTTCTTTGCGCCTAATTGTATTATGGTGCCATGTTTTTATGCACAGATTCAATGAAGAAAACTAAATACAGTTATATTTAGGCATAGTGAAAGCTGGAGCTATTTGAATATTTGTCTACATGTTCTATATGGAACCCAGCAAACCTAATGGAGATTGCACAAGCACAAGTACACGTGATTTCACACATTTGTGACAGTATATCAATGAAGGGACTAGTCCCACAACATGTGTTAGTTGTATATTTATGTTTCTTGGGAGTTTAGTCTATACAGCACATTATGGCTACATATACAACCTCAAACTCACTACGGACCATGTTACATTTTTTACTAATGCCATGGAACTTTTGAGACTTAATCTCCCTTGGATCTACTAGCAGTAAACCACAAGGTGCCTATTTGTTGCCTCATGGCTCACCACACCAGTAAAACGCAGCTGTTCTGTAGTGTATCAACTTATGAGTATTACATCATTAGTGGCTGTGATCGGTTTACTTATCCCTGATCCTTTCTCCTTATTTTGCAGAGAGAGGAGATAAGAAACATGATTGAGCACGATGGTTCTGCCAAAGGGATTGTCTTCAGCCAGTTTACATCATTCTTGGATTTGATTCAGTTTTCCCTGGAGAAGGTAAGCATCGATAGTTTCTTTTTCTCAATGCGTCCTTGTCTGTGGAGAGTTCAACTAATTTACGATGATTTGGCAGTCTGGCATCAAGTGTGTCCAGTTGAATGGAGCCATGAACATTACTGAAAAAGGAAGAGCCATAGACACCTTCACCCATGATCCAGACTGCAGGATCTTCCTGATGAGCCTGAAAGCAGGCGGAGTCGCTCTGAATCTTACTGTAGCATCTCATGTGAGCTTAGCCAATCTTCTTTCTTTGCCAACTTACTTTTACACAGCAATAATTTCTTAAACTTGCAGTACACTCTACAGGGGAAACAGAGTTTATATTTCTGATAGTGGATTTATACCTTGCTGGATTATAGGTGTTCCTGATGGACCCTTGGTGGAATCCAGCAGTCGAGAGTCAAGCGCAGGATCGTATCCACCGAATCGGACAGTTCAAGCCAATCAAGTTGAGTAGAGCTCGCAATGCTGATTAGTGGAATCATTGGACATGTTTTCACTGGTGCAACACATCCCTCCTTTCTAACTACCTTCCTGTTGTGGCTGGGCAGGAGCACTAGGTTTGTGATAGGGGACACGGTTGAAGAGCGCATACTGCAACTGCAAGAGAAGAAGCATCTGGTGTTTGAAGGGTAACAGCTGGACCTCTAATCCAGTAACGCGTACTACTAATATTTGAGTGTTACTATTGTCCTGTCAATGCTGATGCTGCCATGTCCTCTCTCTCTGCTGCAGCACCGTGGGCGACTCTCCGGATGCCATGTCGAAGCTTACAGAGGAGGACCTCAAGTTTCTTTTCCAGATCTAAATGCTGACAGATATGAACATGGGTAGGGCAGCGTATGCTAGGACTGGAGCGCTGACTTTTGGAAGTTGGAACCCTGAGGCCGCCATCAATCGCCAGGACGGGGTCGGCGGTGCGTAGATCGGCTGTTGCCGTGCCTTTTGGATGTGATACTTTTGCAGTGTAACAATGGTAGCCGACTAGCGAGGCTTCCGTTGGAGTAGACGAGTAGCCCATTTTACCCGTATGGGAAAGAGCATGGTGTTTTGGCCTGTCTCTCTGCAGTGTGGCGTGGGCGTGCTGGTGGTGCGGTGGGGTGGGTCGTGGGTGGCGTACTGGTGTTTCGCTCAGCAGTGTGCACCTGAGACTGAGGCCCGACGCGTTCAATTGTTGCAGGCGGCCCCCCGCCTCCGTATCTCATCGGCCGGCATGTGGGTAGGGGAATTGTAGCAGCGTGGGAAGAGGCGGCAGTGACTGGACCATCCGTCTGAAATCTGAATGCCTTTGCACTTTGCAGGGCGGGCGGGTAACGATCACCGAATCGTTCGCTCTCTCTTCTGCTGAGACTGCGGGAGCTGCTGATGCACTCTAAAAAGTAGTCTGGCAGCTGCGTCCGGTAGGCCGAACTGACGTCCCCGGTACCGAGACTGGCCAAAACAAGTGAGGCAGCAGCAGCAATCACAGGGGGGGTCGTGGTGACGCGGACGAACGAAGGGCCCTGATTTGATTTGCGATCAAAATTTACCATGCTAAAGATTTGATAAGCTAAAGCTAGGTAACAAAATTATTATGGATTTAGCAAGCCAAATGTGAGGTTGGCAAGTTTCGATAGCCAACCAAAATCATGGCTTACCAAATCTTTAGTTTGACAAATTTTGAAATCCAAACTAATCAGGCTCGAACTCACCGCAGCCCATGCGTAGTCGGGTTCGATTGCCTGACCTTGGCAGCTTGTCCTAACACTGTAGCTGTGCAAGTCAAAAATTTTCAACTTTAACTAGATTTATAGAAAAATATGTGCATATTCATTTATATCTCTAAATAAGTTTATTATAAAAATATATTTAATAATCTAACTATACTAATTATGTATTGTAAATATTAATATTTTTTATATAGAATTAGCCAAACTTATTAAAATTTAATTTATCGGGAAACGAAAATGGCTTCTACGGACAGAGCAGCGGTTAGCGGCTCGCAGGTAGCAACGACAAACCTGGCGTACATACCCCTCTTTGGGTTGACTCTTCACTCTGGGGCACTAGCGCAAGCCAGTGTCGAGTGTCGACCTCTTCGCCTTGACTCTCGAGCAGTTGAACTGCCCTCCTGGTAACGGCACACGCAGAAAGAAAGAGAGAAAGAAAGCATCCCCGGGTGGACCAACAACTTGTCGAGTGAGCCATTTCCGTACGGAAACAGTCCAAACCTTCTGACGACATGAGCGCTCATAAGTGTCCAAACAAGCGCTATATTATTATTGTATCCATGGGCATGGCCCCCCGTCGGATTAAACTTGTACCACGGGCGGGCCCACCAGAGCGTTCAAGCTCAATTATCGGCGAGTCTTTGTGGCACCAAGGCCAAGACACAAGTAGGTCTGGATATCTGAGCCAAAGTCGGCCTGACTCGGTCCAGCTGGAGCGGGCTCGTTAGTGTCAGCTCGCTAATATTACGAGTCAGAAGGTAGTTTGCCTCGGCTCGTTATCGAGATTGAGCTGGCTCGTTGAGTTTGTGAGCTATAAGAAAAATAGAATATACATGTTTATAATATTTATGCTATATTAATTTTAGATGGAGACGTCCACTATTATACAGCTATACATGATTAATACATATAAGTTCATTAAAAGTATCAACCATGCAACATAGCTGGTCCATCCATGATCATACAGTTCTAGCATACTAACTAGTTGATTGCCACCACAAACTTAGAAAAGTCCACAGATTCAATGTGAGCATCATCATCTTCTCCCTAAAAAACAATATATAAAATCAACATTTAAGTACCACAACAATTATAAAATTAAAATTAATATGAAACAGCTGAAAATAAAGATTACGTCATCAATAGAATAGAGTGTAGTACACTTCTGTGTCAAGATCGTCATCTTCCTGGATTTATAGTCGTACCGATAGGCCTCGGTCGTTTCGACTCATGAGCGACTCACAAGTCGTCTCGAATTGGCTCGTTAAAATAGCGAAATTGGACTTCCAAATTTCAACTCGTGAAAAAGTTAAAAGCGAATGGTAATGGTTAGTCGAAATGAAACCGACCACGAGTCGAGCGAGTTGGCGTGCCAGGAGTATTTGGTCCACCCTAGCCACAAGCAAGTGCAGTGAAGCAGCGACTGGTACAGTACAGTAGCTTGCTTGGATATGATGGAATTATTAAGGATCCGGCTTAATTAGCCGCCGCTTGCGTGAGGCGGAAGGGATCCCTGTCATCCAGAGCAGCAGCGGCCGCACAGGCGAAGGGGGCCACGCCACCACGCCTTGTGAGTTGTGAGGCTGCGACGAATGGCGATTTGTTTACGAGAACCCGCGGTCTCCGGCGTCTGTTTCCCAGAGGCCCTGCACCAGCTACTGCACATGCGCGTCGCGGTCGCTGTGCAATGCTATGGGGAAGAATTCCCAATTTCCGCACTGGAACTAGAAGGGAATCTGACAATTTCCACAGTTGCTGCTTCGTCGCTTCGTCGGAAACTGCCACCAAACCATCCGCTACTCTGATGGCGTCCCTAACGGAGTATATGATTTTTTTTTGTCGGGTTTAAGAAATGACGTGGCAGAATGTAACAATCTGTAGGCCCTCTTCGAGACGCGGAGAATGTTTCTGTTTCTACGATATATCTGACCTTATTTGGTTTTAGTTTTAATCTGAAACTCGCACCTTATAATTAATTGAAAAAAATTTGAGAAAAATCTTCACCATCCTACCCCACTTCGACCCCTAAATCACGATCAATTCGTCACTTCAGCGGCAAAACCCGTCGAGCACCACAATGTAGTTAGCGGCCCCTAGGTGAGGATAGTGCGCGAGAGCTCCTCGTGCCCATTTCTTTCAGCAATGTTGCCTCCTCTTCCTCATGCGTGCTAGAGCGTCGTTAACTTCCACCACGTTCACATCATCACCGCCTGTTTCTTCGCCACATCAGCAAAGTTTTTGCGACTATTTGATAAGATCGGGGCCTAATCTTAAAGACCCACCCACAAGCTTACTAGCCTTGAGACCGACCCTGCAATGTTTGAGGGCGGGGCGACCTCCTCACGAGTGGTGTGGGCCACCATATCGTATATCATATCAATCCCAAGGCTAGTGGAATTCCGACACTCCTGATGCCCTAGATGCCTCGCCACCCATATGCCACGTCAGCCCTTCGATTCCACTGCGCACCAAGCATGAGCATTTCCCTTTCCCGGCTGTGGGGGCCCAGCCTACGGCATCCATGATCCATGCATGCAGGTAGGTGGCGGGAGCGCACTTGGAGCTGGAGGGACGATGGATGGATGGTGGTACGTTGCGATCTGCTGACAAGTGATGAAGTGAACTAGTGAAGCGATCACGATTCACGCACGCACGGTACACGGTGTGACGGTGGTGATCTTGGATCGTCGTGACAGTATCTAATCACCCATCGTCGGCGACGGCGATTAAAGAAGCAGCAGTGGGCGGGCGTCGTTTTCTGCCAAGTTTTAGCCAGCGCAGTAGCGCGTCTTGTTGCATTGGTCGTCCGGCCAGGTCCAGCGCGATTGTTCTCTTCTGTGTTCTGGCTCTGGTGCTGTTCCGGTTCCGGCTGCGCGTGCGTCTGCGTCTCGTCAGTCGCCTCGCCACGCCGGCGCTTTCCCGAAAAGGACACTGACAGGTCTCCTCACCTTCTCTTTTATCTACCTTCCGGATTCGGAAAGAAAAGGATCTGATTGCAGCAAAAACAACAGCCTACCGGCCTAGTCAACCACCCGCGGTCCCACACCAAGGATCGATCTGCTTGATCTTGCTAGCGCCAGTGCACGATACTACTAGTCTACTTATATATCTCCATCAATCGATTCATTTATTTTCACAATCTTCACCCAAGACGTATCAGCAACTTTGTGAAGATCCAACTCCTGCGGCCCAATGGCTTCATGTCCTAGCTGCAGGTTAAGGTGCAGTTCCATAGCTAATCGTGGTATTAGCCGAACAAACATAAATTGAGCTTGCAAACGAAAAACGGTTTAAGTAAATTAAGAGGACTCGGATACAAGAAGACTTCTAAGAAAATGACCTCATTGTATGTTTTATCTACTCCCTCCGTTCAAAATTATAAGTCGTTCTACTTTTTCTAAATACATGGCTTTAACTACGTTCCTAGATATCATTATATCAAGATTCATAGTAAAAATAATGTATCTAGAAAAACCAGAACAACTTATAGTTTATACAAGCATTCGATGTCTTTATGAATGAATTTTCCTCCCAGGAGAGAAATGGATGCCAACTTTGACATTCCACCGTGTAAAACATCTCTGGAGAAAGTTAGGTTAGTGTATGACCCTGCATTACGAGTTGGAAAACATCGGTATATAGTATGACCAGCCCTTTGAGAAAAATAGCTAGTCTTCTATTTTCTATCAATGAATTGACACAATCTCGTATCTGTTCGTTAAAAAAGACGCTAATCTTACTAGTTTTTCTTAGGAAAACTACATATATGCTACAGAAACTATAGAACTCGGTCTGTATGTACTTAGAACTAGATCCCAAACTATAATCCTAGCGCTCGGATGTCCGGCGCGAGCACTGCGTCCGGACACCGCTCCCCTTCCCAACAGGCCTGCCCCCCGTAGAATTGGATCCCAAACCCCACCCCACCCCCCCACCCCCGCGCAGAATGGAATGGAATGGAACAGAAACCGAACGCCGCTCTCCTCCCCAGCGCACCCCTGTCCCAAATAGGACGAAACACTTCAAAGTGCAACATCGCAAACATATGGAAAAAACCATGTAGTGCAACATCGGAATATAAAATACCGCAACATCGCAA